CGTGGCCTAGGGAACAGCTAGTAAACCTAAATCCAAAGTTCTAGACCCAACTGCGGCTTATATAGAATATATACATATATGGTTACATATATATATATATAAAGGTACTTCTGAGGACCTCATAATGAGAAACCAACCAATTCCTGCTTGCAAAGGGAATGTTTTATATACAGGCATACAGCGCTCCTGTGCAGGCTATGACTTTTCAGTCAGACCCGGGCAAGGTGTGAAGGCTAAGCCTGACCTCCCCAAAAGAAGAGACCGGCCCAGTGACCCCTGGGCTCTGCACCAAGCTGCTCGCCTGCAAGAACAGACGGCCCGCAGGCCCTGCCCCAGCTCCTGTGGTGGCATGTTAAATCCCAAGGAGGAACGCTGCACAGGTAGGTTTTTTTTGGCTAATGTCGTTTGCATGTCTCCCGTGTTTCCCCTGCATTCTGGGGAATGGGATAAACACAAAGAATGTGCCTGGCTGGTAACAGGGTGATGCAAAACAAGAGCCTGGCTGGCTGTAGTTTTTTTATTGCAAGTTTTTAGTGGTAGTCTGTCAGGGATCTCTAATTTGTATTTTGGTTGAAGAAAAGATATTACCAGATAGTGTATGTTTGGGGCTTTACTTGTGGAGCTCCCCAAAGTGGTCTCTCTGTGTTTCTGTGAGTGTTGACTCCCCTGTCATTTGAATTTTCTTGCAGCTTTCCCAAAATGCTGGGCCTCATAGCGGGTGGGAACAGCGTTCCTGGCCGCTCCTGCCTGCCCTGCACACCTGGGCACTGAGAACAAAATAGCCCAGCCTAGCTCCTCAGAGAGATGACTGACTGCAGAGCTGGACAGCAAAATCCTTTATCATCTAGGTAGTGAGGACGGCCAAGAATTGAGAATGATTTATATGAAATCATAATAGTAACATTTTTTAAAAGGTTGCATTAAGAAACAAGTGCTAATATTAAGGACATGTTGCAGATGATGCTACCAACCATTTTTTACCACACAGATTGATGAATGAACCCAAAACAAGAGGAAGCATGCGCTTTCACGGTCTGAACCTCATACTATGACTGATACAGTTCAGAGGGCTAATTTATCAGTTAACCAGCCTTTCAGTTTATGCTTAGTGTTGTACACACATAGCCCAATTTACTTACATGCCTAAAATTTAAGGATTCGTCAGTGTTGTTGGATCACGGCCTTATTACCTGTATAGTTCAATTTCTGCACAAAACCACGAGTGTTACTTCAATGCTGCTTTGTAGGGGTTCATGACATTTAATGTTGGCACAATGCCCTGAAAATGGTACGGCTTTATATGCCTATGAATTTTAGTGCCCTTGCATTGAGTATTTTACAGGTTTTTATGATAGATTAAGAATTCTGAGGACTGGGATGTTGGAAGTTTCAGTGTTTATAAAACAATCTTTGGTTTCATACTTTGGCACAGTCCCGCTGGTCTAGTGACATGGTTTACTTCTGTCATTGCATCACTGCTAGAATGACATTGTAGTGATGAGACTCCCAAAAATATTTTCTTCACTCTAACGTTTGAAATAAAGCCAACTGGGTTTCGTTTCTCTCAGAAATTATGTTACAGTGTTGCTGGGATAGGGGCTTTTTTGTTGTTATTTTAATGCCCATTTATGTCTTGCCCATATAAAGACAAGGACTGTGCCCTACAGAGATGAATGGGTCTGACATATGCTGTATTTATAAACACTTTTGCAGGCTGTCAGCTGAGTTTCCGTGGCTGAAGAGAAGTATGTTAATTTTTAAATCTCATATGGCACTCTGTAAACCCACAGTGGAAGCTAGGAGTAGTAAATGGCATTGTTTGGGTAAAAGAAGTCCCTCCACACGAATCAAGGATTTGGAATCTGTGGCACTGACTGACTGAAGACAGGGTGAAAAAAAAAAGTTATGCCTTAAATGTTTGGGCCTGAATCTGCACAACTGTGCCTGGATGAAGAAACCTTGCTTTCATAAATGGTATCACTGATGACAGTGACATTTTTTATGTGGGTTATGACCTACTTGTATGGCAAAGAATGTGCAAGATCAGAGTCTTCACAGTACAGTAAAGCTGTCCTAGGACAAATTCTTCCAGAAGTTTTATTTTGCAATAGTTGGTTGGATGATCTTTTCCTTTCCTCTGAGTACGATGAAATGGAAACTCACTACTTTGACGATGTACTCCCAGTTGATCCAAACAGGGACGTGTGAAGTTATTTATCAGTTCTCCAAACTGTGTTTACAGGATGCAGTCTGAATCCGAGATAAGCAACACACACTTTGTTTTACACAGAGTGTTTGAACAGCATGCAGTGCTGTGTTCAGCAATCTCTTCATGGGCCACAGAAGCACAGTCACTTCTGTAGCAAGCACAGCCAGGTGGCCAAATGTCTGCTGTGTATATTTAAGTTCTCTAGAAATAAAATTCTCAACGTTATTTTTCCAAAAATGAAAGGTTTTGTCTGAAATTTCATCTCAGTATGTTTGAATGGTGAAACTATTTCTTCTCGTAAAACACTTCAGCATGGTTTTGGACCAATTATTTTTAGCAATTTCTATTGAGCATTTTTGGAAAATCAGGATTCATGAGACCTTGTTGCTAATTTATTGATTCACTGGCACTGTTCAATAGAAGAGTATTCTAAAAGAAAAATATCAATTAGCTTACAAGTCTGGAAGTATGACTAAGATGCTGAACTTGAAATTTTTTTGCCTGTATAGCAACACGAGTCTCTGGTACCTCTGTGTATGGAAAACTCTTCTGATTGGCATTGGCGATTTGACCAGATTATAATTTCATTTGATTTATGACCCTGTTTTATTTTCCCATTTTGTTTTTAGTGGCTACCAATTAAAAACCCCCAGCATGTATGTATAATGGATCTAGATATAAATGAATTAATCAGTTGTGTCTCATGATGTCTTAGCAAGAAAAAAAAAAAAAGTAAATTTGCTTGGAAAATTGTGCCATCTTGGCATTAAAACTGATCTTAGTTTTTAAGGGAGTTGTCCTTGGAAGTACTGAATATGCTTCATAAGCAGAAATCTAAAGTGTGAAGCATAATAAACAAGCATCTGGAAGTAGGCTTCCAGGTCCATATTTAGAGTCTTAAATAAGTGACCTGATTTTCCAGAGGTGCTGAGCAGCCAGCCATGCGTGTGAATTCCACCGGCGTTCTCAACTGCTCAGTGCTTCCAGAAACAGACCTGTTACTCAGGATCAGCAAGGTGAAATTTTTAAAAGCTTTTCCTGTACATCTTTAAGTTGGTCAATTTTATTAAGATGGGTGCCTAAAGTACTGTTCTACGACATCCCCACTGTGCCTTGTGTCACCTGCCTTATTTAAGTTTTGGCAGGGGAAAGCCTGGCTTACGTAGTGAGGTCACCTGAGGGACCTGAGATGTTGGCTGGCAGCCCTGTTGTACTCTCACTTGGCTGTGAACTGATGCTATTGTATGTTGCAAAGTTCAGTGAGTATTTATAAAACAGAAACTGTGGTCCTCCTGCAGGTTTGGCAAATCCTGTTCTTTGCCAGAAGGTTTTTACTGTTTTTTCACCTCTCTTTAGATGAAAATGGTCCATCTCTGGAAATACTGACAGATGTCGTATTGTATCAAAATGCAGAAACAATATTTAAACATGAGTCCAAGACTGGGTAGCAAAGTATTTTGTTAATTTATCCGACTGCATATTTTCACTATATGTATTTCTCTTCTGCCTGTTACTGCAGTTTTATTTTCTGAAGTATAGGTAGTTTTCTGTGGTTTTGCAGTATAGTATATAGAACAAAATCAGTCATCCTAGTACGTAGTTTAACTCTGATGCCCCTTGAGGCAACCTGTTAATGGGCAGATGATCATCTAGCATAGTCAAAATAATTCCTTTTGTTTTAATAGAACTATAGCAATTTCTGGATCCATGTCTTCCACTTACACGCTAGTCCATTCTTGATTTCTTTTTCTTCACACGTTGCCACAAAATACCAGGCACAGTATTTTGTCTTAGTGTTTTTCTCAAGTAATAGCTGCAAAAAGGATATATTCATAAGTGACAGAGGCAAAGGTCTCCCTTGTTTTTTTTTTTTCTTAGTAATGTAAAACTACCTCTGGAGATGTTGCAACTAAAGTCACAGTAAATCTACTTTTCTTCTCAACATCTTCTCCAATTAAATGTTCCCGTTCAGCTAATTTGTTTGTGAAACAAACAAAATGGCAATGTTATGTGCAAGAATTTGTTGTTATGCTTAACTTTATTTGGTTTGAGTTCTGTGACTTAGGAACCAGCAATCTAAGCTGTAACATGAAAATGCAGAAGTGTTTCTGCTTTTATTTTTGCAAATTAGAGCAGTAATATACAAAGCTAGTGAAATTCACGCTATAGTGTATCAGAGCGCAGAAACTTGCTAATGCTATGTCATAGCCTTATCTTTTGACAGGATAAAATTATAATCTGATTATAAATTTTCATGTAGTAGTTTTTGTGTGTTGTGTAATGCTTACTAGGATGTTGTGAGGGAAAGCTGGATGCAGCTAAAGTCCGTTACATTACTTGGAGATTATACAATTTTCCAGAATCTTATTCTATTTGAGAAAATGATCTTTGATTAAGAAGATTTTTTGTTTGGGTTTTTTTGTTTTTGTTTTTACTGTGTAAAGTAAAAATTGTAGTTTCTGGTTTAGAATTAAAAGTTTCCCTGTGAGGTGCAAATGGGAATGCTACAAAAACTGAAGAGGTACAAGTTGTTATTTTAATTTAAGGAATTATGAGAAAAATGGGGTTTTTTACAAGTCAGCTTTTTTAATCAGTCTTATATCTTTGTTGGCGGTTATGAACTGCTGGGTAGGTTTTTTCAGGTTTTGTGTGAAGGATCCAGTTTTGTAGCTAAGCCAATCTGAAATACCCGATTGCAGGATTGGTAGTTATTTGTAGAGAGCCATACAAATAATATGCAAAGTTGTGGGAATAGTAAAAGCTCAGGCAAAATCTAATGGATTAGCATTAGGCCTTTAAAGAAATTCTCTGTATGAAACTGTTGAAAGAAACGACAGAGGCACGAGAGTCCTGCCACCTCACTGGTCGACGGCCCTCAGTTGACAAGTAGAATAAAAAGCGCCTATTGCCAGCTCTGTGGTAAAATATTTAAAGTCCAGTTTTTCATATGGCTTTCAGTCAAGCCTAATTTTAAAATCTAATACAAAACAGGAAAGCAGAACAGCATGTAAATTGTCTAACTACATTTTAATAAGATATTAGGTCAATTTTCTGGATAAGTAGTTACAGATTTCTCCAACACTGACTGGCCAGTCCCTGAAGAAGGTATTGTCTAGTCACTGAGTGGGAATTAAAAAATCGGGGTGATGTTGCATACCTCTGACACTACAGAAAGCCTAATTCCTTAAATAGTTACTCACATTTTTAATTAGCTGAAGGGATCACTAACCAATTAAATTGATTTGAACAGAACACAAATTTGAATGAGAAAACCAGTTTTTGTGCTTCCTTTCTGTAATAGTATACATTGCTAAGACTGGAGGAGAAAAACGTGGTTCACGTATAAGAACTGTAACTGCTGTCAAACTCTGATGCCTGCGTTTTAGCACTTTAATGCATATATAGAATCAGTTTGATTTTTAGATTTGATGGACACTCACAGCTTTCACTGGAATCAGCCATTCTGAGTGATATAAAACCTACTCCTGTTATTTTTTGTAGGTGTAGGTTCCTATCTTTAGGCATAAAAACGTGAGGGTTTGGTATGAATATAAATTAAAATGTTTTCAGACTTCTGGCAAGTTTGGTAATGGTGAAGATGCAACAGAATTTATTTTCTTATTAATGTGAAAATATAAAAATTAACTCTGTAAAAGTCAGAAGTAAAAAACTTCTATTGAGGTCACAAATTTCCATCTTATCCTCCTAAAGATTTGAGGGGTTTTTGCTTCACTTGGGAGGTATAGGGCCACAGCACTGTCAGCCGGTTTTGACATATGACTTCAGACATACAACTGCCTGAAAATTGGAGAGAGATTTGGGCTCATGTTGTCTCTGTCCACTGCGTCCTTAGCCCTCAAACGTTAAGGATCATTTAACTGTTCTCTAGGCAAGACGGAGCATAATTGCAAGAATAACAACTCTAAAATTTTCAAAACCATCAGTGTCCTGTTTATTTTTTAATGGATAAACTTTGTGAAGTTTCTACAGCTTTAGGAAAAGCAGTAGCAATGAAAGTGCAGAGTGGAATATCACAGCAAAGGGGCCGAAGGGCCCACACATCTCATGGACAATTCTGGCTTTTGGGATACGAGCAAAGTTGGTGAAAGCAACTTTACATTATTTCTTGCATGTCTTTCTTGACTGGTGTTTCCTAGGCTTAGGCAGCAGCCAGTGGTTATTTTTCCCAAAACACACCTCTGTATTTTCTTTCAAATGGAACTCCATAAACGCAGTCTGCGCCTGGGCATGTGAACGGCCGCCATTTGCCAGTCGCCTGGACGGACAGTGCCCGGCAGAGCGGCCGGCAGAGCAGCAGAGTGGGGACACCCATGCTGGGTGAGCAGAGCAGGGCAGGCACGGGGCTGAGACCCTTCCTGATGGGGAGCTCAGGCCAGAGCATGCTTGGCAGTGAGCGCTGTGGCACAGGACAGGAGGCCGGAGCCAGGAGGCCACATGGATAAGATGCAAGGAACTGGACATTTCTCATGTGTCTTCTGGGCAAGGGCTTATTCTGAACTCTGAATGCAATGAACATGAGGCCAAGACCTTTCTAATTCAGCAGCTTCAGGGGAACTGTAGTGAGGAAAAGAGAGCCGAGTCCATGGCGATTATTCATGGGCAGACAGGCAGGTTCTGTGCCTGGACTCTTGGCTGAGGCTGGTGGGTTATTCCAGTCCCTGCAGCCAGAGGCAGCCCATTTGGCATGTTTTTCTGGTAACTTTTCCAACAGTCTCTTTCATCCACAAGTGCCAAGCAGCTGAGGACTGGAGCGGCCCAGTCTTAACCAAGCACTAGCCAGCCTGCGTCTGTCTGTGTCCTGCTGGTGATGATGAGGTTGGCGGCTACAGCCGCTTCCCTGGGACCGTCAGGTAGGACCTGGCTGGGTGCCCCGGGCTGCTGCGAGGAGAGGATAGTGTAGAAGGACTGCTCCTTCTCCCAGCACACAGCCGTCCACCCTGGCAGCAGCAGGAGAAAATGAAGGAGAAACGCAAAGTTGCTCACCAGAGTTAAAATCAGCACGTCGACGCAAGTGTGGTAACTCCTTGGTGACCTTGTGTTACACCCACAAGTAATTCTGCACTGCTTTTTCTGTGGGGATCAGCTGCAGGTGTTTTGTGCTTGAATATCTGAGAAGTTTAAAATGTAATTGGAAATTGATGCGTAGGATACACATGTAGTTAACACAAATATATTTTTAAAACTCTGTTATGAATGGCCCGATTGAGGAGTGGAGATCTTACTGATGAGCTACGTGGAATGCTTTTCAGGAATTACGGAACGGTTTTCTTGATGTGGGTAGAAACAATACAGAACCGTAAAAATGATAATTAACCATGGCAGCATCAGCAACCTTCGACTAAACCTACTGATGGCAAGGAAGTTCTCCATTTGGCTCAAAATCAGCTGATGGGATATAACTTTTACATTTACTGCGATATCAAGATAGACATATTTATCTTAAGAGGTACCATTATACCCTAGCTTCACACATCTCTGTTGGTAATCAACCAGTTATGAATTTTTCTTCAGGAACTTCTGGGTTTTAAACTATTACTGGAATTTTGTTGTTTAAATTATAGTGAGCATTCCAAATTCCTTCTAACTCCCTACAGCCTTTTAGCTCCCACAGAAGTTAAATGGTGTGATAGAAAGTCAGTTCCTTTCTCACAGCAATTCACTCTTTGCTAATTCCATGCTTTGGAGTAGTAAATGTACCTTTAAAAAAATTGATAGCTTCTGAGCTTTGAGAGGTACTGTAGAGAATATGAAGATTTCTGTAGTCATGCTTTAATTTTTGTATTTTGCCTTCATTCAGTAAGAATACATCTTTTTTTTTTTTTTTTAAAAAAAAAGGAAACAGGGAAAAAAGCCTATTCTACTGAATATATCCTATTTCAGTGAAATACTATTGTTTATGTGTGCCACTCCCCTCTAGTGAATAGAAGTGGAATTGCTCCATCTCATGCCATGCCATGGACACCCAGCTGCAATCAGATTATGGAAATTTTCTTCAGCTTTCAGTGACAGGGAATTACCTTTTTTGGAGTTGAACAATGTGAACTTTTCCCTGCTTTTTCTATTAAGGACAAACCAGACTTTCATTGCAAAGCATGCCAAGTTTCCTAAGTTTAGTCCTTTGCACACACATAATGCCCAAGTAATACAAAATTAACTTCAACAGCAGCAAAACTGTATTAGTTACTACTGCTGTGTCTGTATATCGCTGGATTTGAGTTATAGTTCTGTGCTTCTTGTCCCAGTTTACATACACACAGCATATATTTTAATAATGTTTACTTTTTTCTTGATTGTTGAATATACATTTATATAGTAATTTTAAAGCCTCCACAATAGGTCAATATTTGCTTTATTAAACCTTCAAGTAATTGATATGAATGCTAGAGTGGTTTGGTCACAGCTAGGTGTGCAAGCTAGGATTAAAATATCCATCCATATACGTTCACATGGACATTCTTCTTGAACAGGTAAATAATACAAAACAGAGGAAGACAGTGTTATAAAAATGGTGTGTACTTGATAAATGTTCTGTCAGATGTCAGTGAACAAGATATCAAGCACAGGATTTCTCTGGCAAAAGGCCAGTCATGTAGCTCAGTAGTCACTCTAGCCTGTCCTTATCACCCACAGACAGAAATACGTGCATTTAGGTCTCCATGCATCCCCTAACGTACACAACGAAAATACGCTTGTGCTCAGAATGCAGCACATGATTGTTTCTATTGACGGCACGTTACAGACATCTCAAGCTCATATGAGGTGAATGGCTCAGAATGCAGCACATGATTGTTTCTATTGACTGCACGTTACAGACATCTCAAGGTGAATCCTGTATGTGGTGGTCTAAAAACATCTCTTTATGTCTGCTTCTTTGCTCTTTAATCGTGCCATTTATTGGCATAATAAATGTGTCATTAATTGGTGGTACGGGTGAAAACAACTTCTGCTTTCACACTTGACAACCAAAGTTAGGGCATCAGAGTTGCAAAGTAAATAGCCCAAAGAAGTCATGTGAGATGCAGAAGTAGTGAACCCTAAATCCACATAAAATTTGATGTGAGGCAACTGTATGCTGGAATACGTTTCATTAAAAAAAAAAAAAAAAAAAAAAAAAGAGCATGCACACAAAGTTGTTCTGTCATACCTAAGAAATGCAGAGGTATGCCTGAGAGTAGAATTGCTCTGTAGAACTCCATATGTTTATATATCATACTCACCCATTAAAACCAACACCAGGTGTTCACTTACCTGGAGCCTAAAGAATGATGTGTGAATATAGCTGCAAAGCCAAGTGTGACCCATTTCCTTGCTTTCCTTTTGGGATCACTTTGCATTTCACATCTTTGCACTTTTCTGAGAACCAAAGCTGTGCTTCACCCTTGTTCTTAAAGGATGGCAGATGTTGTTTGTAAAGGCTAAAACCCCTTCTTTGTTCTTTTTAACTAAAATAACTGTAAAAAAATATGAGGCCAAATCCTGTGGCATCTAGTTAGGCAAAACTCACAATGGGATTTGTGGGCTGTAGCTTTTTTTATTTATGGATGGTGCTGTACATCACTGCAGCTCTATATTCTCTTAGTAACAAAAGAATAAAGTCCTGTTTGTTATTGCCCAGCACTTTGAGAACTGCGGTTGAGAAATGCTATTACAGAATTCATAATAAAAATGATCTCTTCTCTTTTACAGAGAGATCAGTGCTTGCCCAGCCGACATTTGTTTTTGAAAAGAAGGACCGTCCTTTGAAGGTAAAAAGCTTTTATTTTTTTGGCATAATTGATAAAAATGCCGAGAAGTGAGGATTCTATAGACAGTGATCCTAGCAGCAATAAAAGATATTAGCCCAGGTTAAGACTTGTAATAAATGGTCTCAAACTAGAACAAAGAAATGTAGAAACTAGAAACAAGACTGTGTTTTTTGCATAAATGCTGGATTGATATACTTTGTGACCTCGTCTAGAAAATGGATGTTCTATTCTTCTTGACCTTTCCACGCTTCTGTTTTTTTTCCAGAGGCCTGCAGAAGACCCAGTTTGCAAAGCTGAAAATGGTAATAACCACCTCACTGAAACAGTATAATACACTGTATTATTCATAGGTCTGGCTGTTGCCTGTGAAAATAGCATTTGGACCCTTACTTTTTATGACCAGGGACAAATCCCTGTTAGTAGACTAAGACTACATGGATTGTAGAACCACCTACTATGTCCTAATATATATGTCCCTGTCTTACATCAAGAATTCTTCCACCTTACCTCTCAAATTTATCAGAAAGCCAAACTCCAGAAGCCCTGAAAAGTGGCCATGTATATTCATCAGCTGTATGAGCTCCTAGCTACCCTTTTCTATTTATTTAGGCTACATTATGATGTAACTTCTCATTTTTAATGCCTTCTGAGCCTGTGGGCTCTGAACTGATTCTAAGTGCTTGCTTTATGTTCACTGAACCTAGAAATAAATAAGACTCCCTAGGGCTTTGTGCCATGTGTTGACTGAAATTCCAAAGGCCTCAGGCTCTTAGGTACTTGCCTTAAAGCTGTTACTGTAAGCCATTCCTAGAATTTATTGTATTGAGGTTTTAATTCCACATCATAACTTTGTGCTGAAATCTCCTGCCAGTCTGTCCCTGCAGAACATTATATTTACTTTTCTCTAGATTTCATTAGCTGTTCCAGAAAGCGTGCAAGATCATCATCTTTTACTTTCCAGAAGTCTGACTCTCAGTCTAACACAGGTATGATGCTTAGCTCCAGTCATGTTTTAATTACTGTAGTTCTGTATTCTCATCTGGTGAAGAAGAGAAGGAATTTTCCTATCTAAGAAACGTTTCTGCACTGTAGAAATGCTGCAAGTCATGAAAACATAAACATTGATATAAACTTGCTGGTAATTTCCAATAAATCCCCTTTTAAGTAAAAATATATTAGTTTTCCATACTTACATATTATTTCATGAAGTAGTGAAAAATCTGTATATTTCATCTCGTTTCCCTGAATTGCTCACATAGCCAAGGGAGGAGGAGGTGAGATTCCCTGGCTTGAGGAAAAGATCAGTGTTCCCTGGGCAATCCCTGAAAATGGAAAGCAGTTTCCAGAAGGGCCCCTCCTCCACCCCACCAACAGCTGACCTGGAAGGCCCTTTAAGGACTGTGCACTGCTTCCATGGGAAAAGCACACAAGTCAGCTACTGTGCAGAAGGACTTACCTATTTTTTACAGTGTTTATTTTAACATGTGGATGGCACTGGAAAGTTATTTCTGAATTCAGGCGCTAGTGTACGTACACTGTATTTTGTTTTATCTAGTCCTGTGACACACCTGAATGTAGCTAAGAGGATTTAAGATAAGCTAAGTTTGGTTAACTCTGAAAATTACACTGAGATCATATGCAGAAAATCACAGATACATAAGAAATTTTAGGGTATGCTTTTACCACAAAATAAAGCAGGGTGCAGGAGGAAGCTTGAGCATTTGACCTCTTGATTGTCCACACTGCTTAACTGAATAGCTCAATTCCTGGTTCTGTTTTGAACGCCTCCAGCTGGTGGTCTCCAAGAAAGAACTGTTACAGAGTGGAGTAGCTGTAAGCATTGTGCCTGAGCCAGGCTGTGCCACTCGGCCTCAGAGACCTTTCCAATTCAGCAGCATAGGCATAACCTAGCAGTCTACCTCAGAAACCTGGTAGTTAGCAGATAATAATTTATTCTCCTGCAATGAAGGCATAACATCAAATTGGCTAACCTTAAAATAAATCTTTTTTTCTCCTCCAAACAAATGATAATTTCAGTCACTTACCCTTTCAGATACAACTCTTGCTCAGAAAAGAGGGAGATCATCTTCCTTTACCATCCTTCCCACCTTCCCTCCCTCCCAGCCAGGTAATTCAAAAAAAAAAAGAAAACAACAAAATGAATAAATATTTATGTAGAAAAACAAGTGTTAGCTAAAATAGAGGTGTACAGAAATGCTTTTTCTGCAGGACAGAACTGGAACGTATTGAACTAGGCTGGTATTTGGACAGGAGAAAGGAATGTTTTAGGAGGAGAGCTGGCAGTTCACAGGAGAAATGTTTTTTGCATTTGTTGTTGGGGAATCTTGAAGTGCTGGGGAGGAATCTCTGAATAATTTGCAAGTGGGCATTTACATAGTGTGGTCCAAATTATACTTGAAAAAAACAGAGTGGAGTTAAAGTAATTACCTGAATTAGTTTGCTTGCAATTTAATGGTGACGGTTCCTATAGGAATATAATTTTCTACCCCAGAAGCCTGTCTTCCACCTTTCCAGTGGCTCTGGGAGTATTCTCCCACTTACCACTAATGGGAATGATGGAATGGTCTTAAATCCTAGTCTATGTCTCTTACCAGAGACAGTTTGTTGACAGAGATTGGCATAAAGGATTTCT